GTTTCTTCATAGAACATTGTTTTACATTAAAATGCATTTGCAAGAGACATCTTTATTACCATTTCTACGCATATACGTGCAAGTTCCAAACATAAACGTACGTAAATATATGCCTGTGGGAGCAGATAAAACCACGCAGAACATACAACCCAGAGTAGGTATACAATACAACAAAATTATTTATGCAAATTTTATTGATGGTTGCAAGCGAAAAAAAACCGCGGCAATTGCCATTTCATTTACGTTCATTCTTTATTCAACTTTTTTTTAAATTTTCTGAGCACACATTTTATATATTCTGCTTTCATTTATTATTTACCGTACCTGCCAGCAATTCATATTTTTCAGAATAAATTGATCTATAAATCTTTGAACAAATCGGTTAGGTTTATATGTATGTATATATATATATATATATATATATATATATATATATATATATATATATATACAATAATCTATAAATTCTACCGAATGTTTTTGTAGTTCGTTACTACAAACATATTAACGCCAAACATTCGGTAGAATTTATAGAATATTGTAAAAATTATGGTCTATTACCAACATATATATATATATATATGTATATATATATATATATATATATATATATATATATATATATAGAATAATTTTTGATAATAAAAAGATAATATGGACCATCGTATATTTTCAAATTTTTACATTAAAAATAGTGAATTTAATATGTTTTTTAATTTCTGCATTAGTTAACCACTGCCAAGAAGTTTTTTAAAAATCAAGAAATTTCAGCAAAATGAAACTGTTCAAAACACAAATTGTAGGTGGCCAAAAACTTTTTGAAAACAAAACTACAAATTTTTTAAAAAATAGCAAACTAATCAACCGTAGTAACGAATAACAAACGAATAACATTAACAGCAACAAAACTCTAACAATGTGATCATTATTGCCATCGTTACCATGACGACAATAATGATGCTAATTTAAAAATGAAAATTATTTCAATGCAAAATTGCCTCCAGATTGCTTTCCCGAGAACTACATTACATACCGTGAGTTTTTTAATCATTCATTCATTCGTTCGTCCGTTCGTTTCTTCGTTCATTCATTCATTCATAAAATGTGTGCCATTCTTGCAATGTGTTTCATAACGCAATGTATGTACTACCCACTTTCATTAGCGATTGGGACGGAATTACACAGCGCATTTTAAAATCTCTCTTGTGTATTCTTAAAATAATCACATTTATTCCAACATTACTTATTTTAGATTGAATTCCAAGAGAACAAGACTTTAAACCATTAACATATTTCATCGTTCACACCGCTTTTTGTGTAAAAAAATGCTACAGTGAATTTTTAATAACGTTGAATAAACGTGAAGCCCTTATAATATTTGCCACTGCTTACCTACGTGAAGAGTTGTTGTATTGAATTATGTTTTCTGTTATATAAGGGTTTTCAAATTTAATTCTTCAAACAATCTGTCGCTGCTTTAAGCGCAAGAAACATTTTGATTAAAAAAAGCTTGAAATAGCAAAAATTAAATTTAAACTTGTATTGAAAAAATGCCCCTGCAAATACATAGTGAACAAAATGAAAGCAGCCTGTTGTTCCACACACACGTGCTGAAGCAAGTCAACAAGGCGGCATCCGCAAACTTCGCTGATTTCAATATTATTCACATTATGCTACTACGAACAGAGCAGTAAATAAAGTTTTTTCTAATAACAATTTCATATCCATAATGGTATGTAAATGTGAAAAAATGCCTCCTTCACAAATCTCCTCATAATTTGCTTGCATCTTGGTGTGTACGGTGGGTTAATAAATATGTAGGAAGGCGCGCACTGTCTGCTGCAGATATGTCTGTATACGTTCGTTTTACATCCCATATCACTCCCAGTCTTAAGGCCTGTGTGTGTGTGCGTGTGTGTGTGTGTGTGTGTGTGTGCAGTGTGCATGAACATGTGCATTTATTTCTGGACCAATGTCTGTGTTTGCCTAACAAAACGTTTGTCAGACATTTGAGTGTTCCAGTCTTTCGCTGAACTGTTTGTTAAAAGTTTTTATTGCAAATACCAACAGATGTTTGCTTTGTAACATGCGTTTTGCTGAAAAATGTGAACTCTGTCAATAAAAAATCTGCTAAAAATATGTTTTTAGTAGTGCGCCGAAAAAATTTTGCCAGAAAAATTAATTTGATTTTTCAGAGAAATCATGTTCGGTATTGAAGAAACTGATTTTGAAATCACGTCAGTTGAGCATGGTTGTTTGTTTAAATTTTTTTAAAAAATTTGTTTCGATCTGAAAACATTTGTTAAACATTTTTCTAATTATTTGATTACATTATTGTGCAAATTGATTATTATCTATATTTTATAACGTTTTTTAAGTTGAAAATTTCATTCGATTTCGATCTCATCAACCAACAACTCGTCTCGTGATGGGGCAAAAATTTTTTTTGGTTGGCGACCTTTTTCTATTGCCCACCACACATTTTTTAACAAATATTTAC